CCTGGGAGGTGACACTGGAGAAAGACGTTAAACTAAGAATGACCCAGCCATCTGGTTATATTTGAGACAAATGTCAGGAAGAAAATGTACTGCCTGACAGGTGAGCTTAAAATCAGAGACCCAATTACATCTGGGCTTGGGAAAGGCTCCCTGACAAGTGTTGCCTGCAACTGGGATCTTAGGTGTCAGCAGAAAGTGGTCACAGGTTTTAGTAATTATGTGGCATTGCAGTTAATAAGGTGAGTGGCAGCAGGTATTTGAGGACCTCGAGGGTGACACCCTGCGGCAGGTGCTGGAGAGTAGGCAGTGAGTGAATTGTGGCGCGTGTCCTCAGGATGACAGCTGAACTCAGCCGGGAAAGCAGATTTGGACTAAGTTTACAACTAAGAAAGAGACAGTCTCTCTCTTTAAGATTGCTGCTAGGACTTTTATTATCCACCTAAAGTTTAAATTATATCCATTGAGTTCATTTAAAAGCCTCAATAAGAATTGTGTTTAAGATTGTATTTGGTGTATGAGCTGCCTCGTGGAGAAGTGGCATCCCCCCACCCTAGAGAATGGCCAGTCCCGTCACCAGTTGGGGAGCTCTTCAGTGCCCATCGCTAGGCTTGGTAACTAACTGGCCATTGTAGTGGCTGTGTCCCTGGATACTCCTATCGGTTATGTTTTCATGTTGCTTATTAGAGGTGAGGTTGTTGCCATTAGGTTTGTATTTTTGGTTTTTGTTGAGTTTGCATCCGTGGCCCTGCTGAGATATTCTGTCTGTTGCCTCCCTCTGTTGGTTTTACACATACGTTGTACTATTTATAAGTAAATATAACTTTTTATTTAAAGAAATTGTAGATGGCTTCCACTGCCCCCCACCCCCCACCCGTCCCAAATGTGTCTCTTAGCAACCTTACTCGGAGCTTAGAATTTCTACTACAGGAGGAAGAGTGTCTGGAGGAACTATAAGTTGGGCTTTGGTGAACTCACCTTTATAAATCCTACTCACGTGCATAAAACAGCATCACTATCATAGCCCTGGTGGTTGTGAACAAAGAACTGAATAATCAACCTTTCCTTCCTCGTCACCTCTGAAATTAGATTAGCAGTGTTCTCTGGAGCGAATCCCTTTCTATCTCACACCTCCACGTGTGCCCTGTGCTGCAGTGACCTCTGATCTGAATGTGTTAGTACTCCCCCTGGTAGTGACTATTACAGTGATAGAAAGGCTTTGTGATACTACAGAATCATGAGGAGTTTCCATAATTTGGTTTGCATCTAATTCAGTAAATGTAGCAATTTGGTACTGATTTTAAGTACTGCAAGTGGGAGTTTCAAGAAAGCTGTAAAAGCAGGTGCTTCCTCATATTACAGAGTCAGTCCACACCACCACAGTGGCCGCTGTGTAGACCACAGGCGTGCGCCCACCCATGTGGTGACTCTTCATGCTTAGTGCTTTTCCACTTCACCTGTGCCCGGTGCAAAGAGGATTTACCCTCTTTCAGCAGCTGAGGAAACTGAGGCTTGGAGGGCAGGATTTTCAGTCTAGGGTCCTGCTTCTGGGTGGGAGGAGGCCCGGGGGAGGCTCTCCCCCACGGCCATGCTGCTCTGTGTGACCTGACTAGCTGCATCAAAGCCCCTCAGCTGAGCGGGACAGTGGACCTGTGTGATCCCATCAGACTCCCCACACCAACAGTAGACACAAGGTTCCCTTTGGCTTCCATGGCATGACATTGACGAAGGTCACCTTCTGTGTTTCCCTCAGACAGAACTCCGTGCATCTGGACAGCACACTCCCTTTGAGCACATGGACATCAGCACCACGGCACTCAACAAATTTGACCCCCGTAGCTTTTGTGCTAAGAAATGTTGCTAGGATAGAAACCCAAGAATAACTCCAAGTGGCCTCCTGTTTTCCTTCTTCTCTCCTAACCTTTTCTAGAGATGAGCATTAAATTAATGCAGTGTAGTGTTGTTGGAAAGGGTGGAAATTACGGTGCGAGTGAGATTTGTTGCCTAAAATAAATAACTTTTTATCAATTAGAGTTGGCTAATAATGACACTTCATGGATCTAGGGTGATCATCCTTCAAGAATACCAAAAAGGGGACTTCTACATTAAAAGCAATTTGGTCCCTGTCCCCTTGCAGCCTCCTAGCTCAGCATCTAGAACTCAGTGAAGGTACAGGTGCTGGGAATGGGCCAAGGTTGTCAGAACGCTGGGCGTGGGGCCTCACCCTGAAACTAGAGCCAGCCCACCGCTGAGTCTGTCAGAGTGCTGCCAGAGAGCAGACCAGCGGGGTAGAGACCGAGAGATTGATGGAGCATTCAGGGAACTGTCTTCCACCTGTGGAGGTGACGGGGCGAGACAAACGCCGTAGGACAGGGCCAGGCTGGACTAGGGCAGGGCTGACAGCTGTTCACGTGGGATTCCTTCTTCCTCGGGGACCACAGTGTCACTCCTAAGGCGTTTCAACTGACTGGGTGAGGCTCACCCATATTCATGAGGGTGATCTCCTTAAAGTCAGCTAATTGGATGCTAACTACTACCTCCCTCCACAGTGACGCTCACATTACTGCTTGATTGAATAACGGGGTACTCTAAAACTGACCATTGTCTTTAACCATGACTTGTGGAATCTTTTTTTCCTGCCCCTTTTTGTCATCTTGGTTATAGCTGTTTTACCTAGTTTAACGCTTTAACCCTAGACTCCAGCCTCATCTGTGCCCTCCGGTGAGCAACTTGGCAGGTGAGGCACCTAAAGTGGGTGAGGCAAGGAGCGGGATGTCTGTGCTCTGGAGACCCCTCCAGAGGGGCAGCCTTCTCCCCTTTTCTTCAGACCTCTAGCCCCCATCTGGGTGAACTGACCACTCCCTAGGCAGTTCCTGGGCATCCCCACTGCTCCTCTTATCCCTCCACCTGTGTTCCCCTCCAGGTGCCGTGCACCCCGGAGTCACGGGCTGCTCCAGCACATCTCCTGCCCCTGAAGGCTTTGAGAGGCAGGCAGTGTGTGTTCATAGACACCTCTGCCACCAGAGACACTGAGCCTGTGGCTGTCATCCACCAGCCCCCAATCTCTGGGTGACTCTCTTGGAGTCCCCCAATCATTTGGCTTTGAGGGAGAGGTTAGAAAACCTCAGATCACAAATGACACACTCCTCATAAAGGTCACAGCCTCTGCCTCTCCTCTGTGCTTTCTTAGCCCTAGAAGGCACCCCCTGGAGGTGACGGTGCCCACCCAGGGTGTGGCCTTTCCTTTGGGGGGGGGGCAGGGGTGGAAGCTCTCCATGCCCCTTATTGTCTTGTGCGGGCTTTGGGATCAGGGTGCCTGGAGGAGTACCCTGGGGCCAGTGATTGAGGATGTGCCCACTACCTGGTAACACCTGTCACAGCCTCTGTTCGTTAATCACCTGTTGTCTGGGAGGTCCTTCCTGAGCCCTGTACACAACCTGTTCACAGGTTGCAGACTTCTTTCTCTTTCTACTGTGTCTTAGGAGCTTTACTCATCTTTTTACTGCAAATGTTTTACAACTATTAGTTTCTAGATTTCCAACCATTTTTTCATCCCTCCCCTCACCCCCTGTCCTGTCTCTGCGCCCCATCATAGTTGCTCTGCCGCAGCCCATCCTCCAGATGACACAGAGAACAAACTTGGTGCTTGGGGCTGTTACAGCAATGGCTAAAAGAGCAGACATTTTTCTTCATGAAAAATGATGTTACCGTTTGGGGTTCAGAATCAGTAACAGTGAAGACAGGATGAGCTGGGTGGTGGCACATGCTGGACTCTCCTCCACAGATACCTTCTAATTGTTGTCATGGAGTCGGACTCTGGCGTAAGGTCAAGTGTTTCGATTTTGTGCTTTAGGGAGTGATGGGGCCAGGGCTTTTTCTGATCACCTGTAAGAGCCCAACTCTGTAACTGGCCGGTGGTAGGTTCAGACTCCGTAAGGTAGCTGGTCACGAATGTGTCAATTATGTTGTGCTTTATTTAGAGAGCTAACTTTTCATATTAACCATATAGGCAGTAAAACACCTATGCTCCAAATAACCCTAGACTTAATACAGAAAACATCTGTTCTAACACACATTGATTCATTTTTATGAAGTTGAAAATAAACGAAGCCAGGATAGGGGACTGGTGAAGGGTGATATGAAGATGGGGATCCAAGGAGTCCTATGAGGAAACCATCCAAACCTCAGAGAATTTTCTTCTTAACTGTCAGGTCTCTGGGCACTCAGCCAGGCTGTCCTGTGCTGATTCTTGCAGCCTGTCTCTGGGAATGACTTTCTAGCCGCACACTCAGAAGTCCCCCGTCTTGACTGTCGCCATCAGTGTGGATTGCAGAGGGCTCTTCATCAGTCACAGGGCGTCCCAGCACAAAGTGGCATTTGCCATGTATCGCTGTCTTCGGTTCTTAACCCCTGCTGCAGGTGGTTTTGTTGTTGTTGTTGTTGTTTTAATTTTTAGTGATTTTTAGAGAGAGAGGGAAAGACAGAGAGGAATATCGATGTGAGAGAAACACATCAATTGGTTGCATCCTGCATGAGCCCTGACCAGAGCCTGGGCCCGGGAGGAGCCTGCAACTGAGGTACATGCCCTTTGGTCCTCAGGCCGACACTCTATCCACTGAGCCAAACTAGCTAGGGCTCCTGCTGCAGTTTTGACCAGAATCTCGTTGCAGAGAGGGAAAGACAGAGAGGAATATCGATGTGAGAGAAACACATCAATTGGTTGCATCCTGCATGAGCCCTGACCAGAGCCTGGGCCCGGGAGGAACCTGCAACTGAGGTACATGCCCTTTGGTCCTCAGGCCGACACTCTATCCACTGAGCCAAACTAGGTAGGGCTCCTGCTGCAGTTTTGACCAGAATCTCGTTGGGGGCCCACACTGCTTCTGAATTTTGAGAATTCCACTGGAATCAGCTCTCTTTAGAATTACTTAAGATTTTTTTTTAATGTTCTTTGTAAATATTTTTAATGTCCTGGTTATAATTATAGACTATGTGGATTTTAGTTTGCAGTTAATATGTTTCGAACATTACCACCTTCCTCCAATCCTACGGGAGCAGAATTTGACCCAGAGGAAGACGAACCAACGTTAGAAGCAGCCTGGCCTCACCTACAGGTACTGAACTGGGGAATGGGCCAGAAACGGGCGTAAATGAGATGTATATGTGCGTGGGGTCTTCCTCTGATGCACGTTCACTGGCCTGAGGGCCTCATCCCAGCTGGTTGCAGGTGGACCTCTGATCATACTGGCATAGGCCTTGCACACCTATGTGTACATGAAAATGTTTTAGCAGAAGAGAAAACGTTCAATGGCTTTTCTTTGTGTAGATACTGTATATCAACTACAGAGATATGGAATTGTCAGCATGTCTTTGATGGAAATGATTATTTTGCTGACAGCCATTGAATTGAGACCCGGAGGACTCACACGGCATTTCCCAGTTTGGGGTACTTAGATTTAATGTGCTCCTGCTATGTGCCCCAAAGCTCACCTGCTGGCGAATGCCTTTCTCAGAGCCTTTGTAGGGCAAGAGGTTGATTGGGAGCATGCCTGTGGGAAGGCACTGAGCCCACTCTGAGCGGAGCACTGGATTGGGAGGTCTGGGCGGTCCTAGGAGGGGAGATGGAGAGATGAGAAACCCAGGAAGGAGCCAAGCGGGGGACAGACGGAAAAGGAGGGCTGTCTCGGCAGCCGAGCGTTCCCGCCTGTGGCATCTGGGACATCTGCTCACCAAGAAGTCCCAGCTTCTGTCGGCCTGCCTCTCCCAGGGCACTTGGAGGTGACAGGCTACAAATCCCACCCAGAACTTGGTCCCAGCCCAGCTGTGGCTGCTGTGCATCGGGGTCTCTGAGCAGCGTAATTTAAGCATGGGTGACATCCTTTTGTTTAAATGCCATTTAAGGAGATAGTCTGTGGTTCTTAGCAAAAGAAAACAGTTACCATCATCAGTTACAATTAAATTAAGCCATGTAATTTAGCATTAAATCTACAGATACATGGCTTTTTTAAGGCTAATATACGAAGACAAAGATTCAACTCATGGTGTATTTTTAATCTCCATTTAGTAAAATACCATGTTTTTTGACTCACTGTTGTTTTTCCCTCCTAGCTTGTTTATGAATTTTTCCTAAGATTTTTAGAGTCTCCAGATTTCCAACCTAATATAGCGAAGAAATATATTGATCAGAAGTTTGTATTGCAGGTAAGGCACAAATTAGCTGAAACCACAAAAGCCCTACTTTGCAGAGAATCCCAGGTTACTAAGTGTCTTTTTCTTCTTGAAGCTTTTAGAGCTCTTTGACAGTGAAGATCCTCGAGAGAGAGATTTTCTTAAAACTACCCTTCACAGAATCTACGGAAAATTCTTAGGCTTAAGAGCTTACATCAGAAAACAGATAAATAATATATTTTATAGGTAAGTCAGCATGGGTGACATTTCTCTTTTCGCGTGGTGATGTTTATTTGCATACTTAATGCCCCCACTTCATCATTCTTTTGACAAGTGACCAAAGAGCACTAGTGGCTGTTTCTGAGCAGCCAGCTGGTCGTGTCCAGGTGGCTCCAGTCTGCACCTGCATCTCCGTGCCAGGCTGGGGCTGGCCCGTCCCCCTTCACCACCCCTCCCCATGGCTCACTCCCAGCATCTCACCACACACCCTCCTTTATTTCAGTTTTTACTAAAACCAGTGGTTCCCTCAGGAGTGCGGATAGAGTGATCTGTCCAAAGCTAGCTGTGCCTTCCTCCTGCCCTTCCTTCATTCTTCCCCATTGCATCTCAGTGAAAGCAGGAGTGAGGAGTGGATCTTGAGGAAATCTGAGGCTTACATTAGAGGTTTGGGAACTGCCCTGTGCACCCAGGGAAAAGGCAACCCTGCTGAGAGCAGCATGTGAAGACCTGGCAGCTTTTAGCGGTCACAGCCACCGCCATCTCTAGGCCTGCAGGACCATGGAAACTGGGAAGCTGGTCACAAGAGTTTACGAGGAGAGGGCACAGCCCCGCGGCTCACAAGAGAATGTTCCAAGTACAGTGTTCACCTTGACCCCAGCCCTTCCCATCCCAGTTTCAGCACCTTCGTCTCTGCTGCTGCTGCCTCTGAGTCACCCGCTGACCGACACCCTTTGGGTGAACAGGTGTTAAGTCCTGGGTGGGGCCCTGAATGTCACAGGTCTGGCTCCTCATAGTTGGCTCCCTGCTCAGCTTCGGCTCCTTCCACACCACCACCTGGCAGCCTTGTTTGATCCTCCACGATGTTCTTTTCCACCAGCCCTTCTCCTCAACCTGCCAGGCTTCTGGAAACATCTGCTTGCCAGGAAAGCCTCCCTGGCCTGGTGGATGGGTGCGGTCTCCCTGTGAGGGTAGGCTTTGTGTCAGCTGCTCTGTCACACACCCAGTGCCAGCTCGTGCCCAGCCATGGTGGCACCAAATAAATGTTGATGGATGAAATACTTAATGCAGTTTCTTATCTGGCCCTGGGAGGCTCACTAAATTAGTAGTTTATTCTGTGAATTGTGGCTTCTCAGGAAGACTTACCCTAAGGCCCCCCAACTCCAGGATGGCTCAATGACAGGTCCTAGTGGGGACAGGCACAGTGTGCACATCCCTCAGTGAGACAGTCTAGCAGCAGTGCCAGAGTGAGAATGCCGACCCCGCCGGAGCACTGCCCAGGCCAGGCAGGTCCCTTAGACACCATGACCGAGCATTGGGGGAGAAAAGGGCCAAGGGGGACTGGACAGATGGAAACCAACAGCCTCTCTGGTGTTTCTGTCACTGGTTCCTCTCGTTCCGTCACCAGCCTGGCCCTAGTGTACCACCCAGTCCTTGAAGTCTCCGTGGCCTGCACTTCTGCGGTCATCGGGGTATAATCCTCTCCCTTATCTTCACACTCAGTACGGCACTCCGAGGTCAGAGCTTCCAGTGTGGGTGGGGCTGCCCTCTGAACTCCTTCCAGGTGCCCTGCGTCCATTTCTGTAGCAGCCCCGGGAACGGCGACGCACCCAGATGGTGATGTGCTCCTGTGCATGTTCCTGGCTTATGTTCTTGGTGTCACACCTCCTTGTTAAGAAGATCGTTACTTGGCTAGTGTACTTATCTATCAACATAATAGCCATTATTTAAACAAGAGGTGCAATTTATAGTCCAGTCTTTTAGGTCTAAAAGTAAGCTCCACCGAAGTGGGTTTTTTGTCCTTAAATGTAGGTTTTGTTTGAATAACAGAATCACAAATAACACCCACATTAAAGAAGTGAAAAATGTCTCATATCTTAAAGAGCTCTAATTTAGAACTGAAATACTTAAATAGGTTATTGAGAAGTTACTACACAGTTTAGTTCAGCTCTCACTAAATGCTCAATGTGAGAGTGTTGTATTTTTTTTTTTCAGTTATCTTTTCTATAATTATAATTATTGATACATGCAATCAAAAATAAGCATATCATGTAGATTCCATAATTGTTTGAGTCTCCACCCTCAATACCACTTCCTCGTCATTTCATGTGAGAAAACAATTAGAAAAGACCACCTTGGGAGAGAGATTCAGCTCATCGAAGTTCTTCCTAGTATCTGATAAGAAAAAGAATATGTCAAACATATTTGCTTCAACTTACTCAAATGTGAAGATCCTGTTTCTATGGTTTCTCATTCTCATCAGCATTTCGGAGATGTGGTTTAGAGAGAGCTCTAGATAGCGGTAACACCTCTTTGGGCAAACAGTGGACCCGGAAGGTTAGGTGTCTGTGGTGGGGCCAGGCTTCAGTCCCCTACTGCTAACAAACCACCCCACATCTGAGTGGCCAAAAACCACAATGTATTCTTTCTCACAATTCTTACACTGGGGCACATGGTGTCCACAAGGGCTGGGATGGCCGCAGTGGCTCAGGGCAGTGCAACCTCAAGGCCCCAGCAGCTCCCAGGGGAGGGAGGGGCGCTGCCAGGGTTTGAGGGTGTGGCCGGAAGTGGTTCAGACCTCCACCCTGTGTTTTGGTCCCAGCCACTCGTGCCGGGACTGGACAGCACAGACTCAGGGGCAAGAAGTGGTTCCACCTCTTCACAAGAGGGCAGGACTTATCCTGCAGGGAGGAGAGGAACCCATGGGTTTAGAGAGTCCTAATTCCATTGTTGCTGAAAGAGTGGACAACCCTCTTGCCCCCTCTGCATGGATCTCCCTGGCTTCCCTCTTGTTTTACACCCTGTTTTTTGCTCCCACTGGAAAAGTAAGAAGGAAAACTACTTTTCTATTTTGTATACCAATTTCAAATCAGGTTAAAGTAATGAGAAATTAAGAACTTACCAATAAGAAAATATTGTTGACTTAGCAGGGGCGAGGAGGTGGGCAGGCTCCTCTGTGTCTCGGGCGGGCTGGGACTCCTCCCAGGTCTAAGTGAGAGTAGTTGTATCAGAGGTTGCTAGGTGGTACTATATGCAAAGCTGTAGCTTTGTGCTTTTAAACTGTTTTGAATATTTCAAACCAGTGACGCAGAGGGAGCCTTCAGGTTGAGCTTCATGAGGCGGTGGCAGTGAAGGGATATATCTGCTGGTGGCTCAGCCGCTTCCTTCCCGCCCTCATTCCCGCCCAGGCTGCCACTTTCCATTCGTCACTTCCCTGCCCATCTTCATGCTGCCACTAGATCCACTTCCATCTATGTCACTGTTCTGCTGACCCTGCCACTGTGGCCTCAGATCCGAGTGGGTCTGAGCTGGCCTCCAGTCTCCATGGACCCTGCCCACCTTCCTGCCAGTTGCCCGCTACCCGGTCCAAGTCACAAACCTTTGTTCCAGCCAAATGAGTTCTCTCCCCACTCCACACCCCTGTCTTTAAAAATCTGTGGGAAGCCTACCTCGGGGCTCAGTTCAAGAACTGACCCCTCAGTGGACTGGCCATCCAGTAGTATATGGGGTGGGCAAAAGTAGGTTTACAGTTGGTCAGGTGGAAAATAATACAATAATTAATACATAATACAAGTATAAATTGTTTTGCATACTCGCAACTGTAAACCTACTTCTGAACGCCCTGTGGATGTGTTAGGCCCATCCTGAAGGATTATTTTACATCCTGTGGATGTTCAGCCAAGTTTCCAAACAAGGACAATAAAATTGGAGTCACATTCTTTATAAATCACAAACTCATTTTTGGCTTAGAGCATATCTAAACTAAGTTTCCATCTGGTAGGCAGGAACCGTTTCTTACACCCCTCACTTCAGCCGAATCAGCCCAAATGTTGGTGGTGAACTTTTTTTCTGCCAGGGGCCATTTGGATATTTATAACATCATTTTGACCATACAAAATTATCAACTTAAGTGTTAGACTGTTATTTTGGTCAAACATTTAACTCACCCCTAATGCCTTGGCAGGGCCAGACCAAATGATTTCTCAGGGCCAGCCGTTCCCCACTCCTGGTTTTGACTGACCCCAGGTGAGCAGGTGTGAGGCAGGGGCCGGTGGTTCCTGAGCAGATCCTGTGGGGAAGAGACGTCTTCCTGTTTTGTGTCCCTGTTCCCGCTCATTGCCCCAGTTTATTCAGTGACGTGTTTGAAGTATCTGATGGATGGATGGCAGGCTGGGTCCCAGCAAGGGGATCGAGGTCTTCAGGTTGCCCTGTTGCAGGAGGTGCTGCAGGGAAGCAGCGCAGGGGTGGGGCGGGGCAGTGTCAGAGGAAGCAGCAAGGCGGCCCAAGTGGTCAGGAAAGAGCTTCTACCTTTGTAGAGACTAAATATTGGAGGCATCGAGATTAAGATGTCCACTTACGTTGAAATGCAGCAAAAAAAAAAAAAAGGTAAATTAATAGAGGGGTGAGTGGATGGATCTGATAAGGCAAACATCAAAATGTTCATTGTAAAGTCTGGGTGGTTGAAACACGGATGCTCACTGTAAAATTCTTCCAACTTTTTGTTTGAAAATTTTCAGAATAAAATGTTGGGGGGATTTTTGAGCGGCAGGCTACGAGGAGTTTATTGATGACAAGAAACAGTGCCCCTGGGATGGTTTTACAAAATCGATGTGCTTATTGTTGCCTGGCTGCGTGATTTTCCCCCTAAAAGCACTGTTTCTTATTCAAAGGATTTTAGTCTTCCCAGCTGTTATTTCACTGTCTAATTCTACATGACAAATTGCCTTTTCCAGGTTTATTTATGAAACAGAGCATCACAATGGCATAGCAGAATTACTGGAAATACTGGGAAGGTAAGTCATCTTTGTATTATTGGTAGTGATTGGCTTTAGATGGAATTTATAGCAGAATGATCCAGTTCATTAAATTCAACCACCCCTCCCCAAAGCAAGAAAACTTAAACCATTCTCTTTTTTTTTAAATATATATTTTATTGATTTTTTTACAGAGAGAAAGGGAGATGGAGAAGGGATAGAGTTAGAAACATCGATGAGAGAGAAACATGGATTCAGCTGCCTCCTGCACACTCTCCACTGGGGATGTGCCCGCAACCAAGGTACATGCCCTTGACCGGAATCGAACCTGGGACCCCTCAGTCCGCAGGCCGATGCTCTATCCACTGAGCCAAACCGGTCAGGGTTTAAAACATTCTCTAGATTCTAGAACTTAAACAAGATCTCACTTATGGCCCTAACTGATTTGGCTCAGTGGATGGAGCGTTGGCCTGTGGACTAAAGGGTCCCAGGTTCAATTCCGGTCAAGGGCATGTACCTTGGTTGCGGGCGCATCCCCAGTGGGGAGTGTGCAGGAGGCAGCTGATCGATGTTTCTCTCTCATCGATGTTTCTAACTCTCTATCCCTCTCCCTTCATCTCTGTAAAAAATCAATAAAATATATATTTTAAAAAAAAAAAAGATCTCACTTATGGAAGAGTTCAGGAGCTCTTGGTTGAGAACATGCTAGATGACAAGTGTCTTCCATTTGTGTGGTTCAGTATGTAGACTCCACCTCCTACGCCTCAGGAGCATTCTGTGGAAACACAAGTTCAATTGTTTCCTCAAAGGCAATGCTAAAAATAGTCACCTTAAGGTTTATATTTGACACTTAGAAGAATAGATCATTTATTATACATTTGAGGAACTGAGTAAATACTAATATTTCAGAATGCTTTGATTTTATAAATTTTTCATATATACTTACAAAATAATTAACATTTCAAAAACTTTTATCTTAATGCAAGTAAAGTTCTTGCTTGCTGTGATTTTTTAAATTGTTGACTAGGCATTGTGTGGCAGGCCTCCTAACCCACCATTTCCCAGAGTCCTCAGGGTTCAGTGGCTCCTCTCCTGGGGATTCCATGCACATTGACAGCTAGAGGTTCTGAGGAGTCCTGCAGTGAAAAGGGCCTGTAGGTTTTTGTTTAATCGTTTCCAAAACTACTGAGAAGCTTTTCTCAAAGAATGCTAGTCATCCTGTGGCTCTGTAGTCCTGCCCTATTGTTCTGAGAAAAATTATACTTGCTGTTATAAATATAATTTGGAAAAAAAATGTTAGTCCTCATGGAGATTTCTTCTTCAACTAGTGTCAACACACTCGGTGGGTCTCTCTCCCTCGGTAGAGCATAGTGAGCGGTTAGGTGGGTGTCCCTTACAGGTTGTATGACCTTGGGCAAGTTACTTACCACTCTGCATCTGTTTCCTTATCTGTGAAATGGGAAGATAAATTTTATTCACTTGCTGGGTCGAGAGGCAAGGTGAGCTGTCTGCGGTGTCCGGCACAGCGCACACAGGCCTCCGTGCCCTCCCACGGCTAGGCTTGACTACTCTGTCCTTCCAGAGGAGGCATCTGATCTGAGGGTCCCCCCAGGTGAATGAGCATATTGTCCTTGACGGCCACTTAAGCCTAACCCTGCCTGCAGGGCCCCCGTCCCTGAGGTTCGTGAATGATGGGGGAACAATTTAGAAAATGCTTTAACTGCTTTCATAGCTCTTGGTAACATTTACCTGCAGCTGCGTAATTATAAAAACAAGTGGATAAACTACCTGATGTTAGAAACAGAAACTTTGGTTTGCAGGTTAAGAGTAAGACCCTCCTTTCTTTGCAAAAGGGAACGAGTTTCTTGCTGATTTTTAACCAAAGCCGTTCTGTGCACTCAGCATTAGAATAATGAGCCAGACTTTCTCCTGGAAAGTGAATTCCTAAGGATGGGTGAAGGCCAAGGGAAAGTGCTGGGTGGGGGCACCCTGGAGCTGGGGGGTGCCAACTGAGCTGCCTGGTCTTCGTGGCCTAAGGAAGGAGGTTTTATCCCCAGAGACTCCCACTGTTCTGGGTAACACCCTGTAAATCCAGAAATTTAAAATTGCCCTGTAGTTACAGAGACAAAATTAACCTTGAAGGTATTTAATTTTCTTTTAAATTTCTGCTGATACTCTCCTTTTTTCTGAAACGCATCTTTTTGCTTGCTGGTTTTCATGATAAAAACTAAAACGGGGAAAAAGCAGCAAGATACTTTTTTTAAATCTGGAACTTGTAAATATTCAAACTGTACATGAATTCTGTTTTCACAGTATAATTAATGGATTTGCCTTACCACTAAAAGAAGAGCACAAGATTTTCTTATTGAAGGTGTTACTACCTTTGCACAAAGTGAAATCTCTGAGTGTCTACCACCCCCAGGTAAGGGCCTCAGTCGTGCCAGGGGCTCGGTAGCAGGCGGTCTTCCCGGAACATTACTGAGCCCCGAGCCTGAGTCCATCCTGTTCATTGGGAGTGCTCCTTTCTTATATCACATTACTGACTCAGGTACCAAGGCTCTGGTGGTAAATGAAAGAACAAGGGGGTAAAGAGATTCCTTTTAAGAAAATCAGAAAAATCTCAGGAGTAGAGAATTTCACAATGAGTTTTAAGCATAGGAAAGGGAGTAACAGGCTTGAAAAGAGTCGAGGAAGACTTCTCAGAGGAAATTTGTCTATAGTATCATTTATAATCTAGCACCTTAAAGGAAAAGGTACCTGTACATAGCACCTGTACGCCCATAGCCACAACTTTGTAAAAATCTAATTACAGTCATACTGAAAAGTAGGTCCATATGTGGTTACTAACCACTGCAGGTACCCAGGAGATCTGGTTTTTCCTTCACTCTTATTCTTCTAAGGTCCATGTAGACAGACCTCAGCGAGGCTGATGGCAGGGTGCTGGATTTGGGCACTCCCACCTTCAGTAGCCAGTGTGTTCCAGAAGCTCTGCTCTGCAGGGCCCCACTTAGGGAGTTTGCAGTGAAGGATAAATTGCAGAAAGAACCGTTGACCCTTGAACAACTCAGGCTTGAACTGTGGGGGTCCCCTCGGCTTGGATTTTTTTTCAATTGACTCACATAGTTCAGACCCATGTTTAAACTGCCACACGTCCAAAACAGAAACCATCCCCACACGCCACGATATTTTGAATTTAATTTTTAAAAAGTCAATTTGCAATGAATATTACAAAAATAAATACATATGACAACTCAGGTGTTCTTAAATATTTTCAGCTGAAAATTCTCATGAAAAATGATTTTAAAGTTGGTCAGGGCTGCCACTTAGGGAAAACATTTTTTTTATAGATGCGCAGGCGTGTGAGGAAGGTCCGCCTCTTGCATCTACAGATGCTTATGGCGTACAATAGGTAAGGGTCAACTGGCAGTAGGGAGCCCGCATATGCGGAGAATCCGCGTGTGCGGAGGGCTGGCTTGAGTTACACGTGGATTTTTGTGTGCAGGCATTGGCCCCAGCCTCCGCGTTGTTCAGGGGTCAACTGTATATTCTTCAGATGATTCTAATGACATTGGCCTCCTGGGAAATATTTTGCTTAGAGTTTTGTTTGTTTGTTACTAACTGGTAAGATCTTTACATTCAGCCCCGTTGATGTCATATTAATTGTCCTGTATTAGAAGTCAGTACTTCAGAGCTTGAAGGTGGAACCAGATTTTAATTCGGTTTTTCCCATTTGTCATATTACTTGTTCGTTAGTCTCCAAAAAACCACAGGAAAAATCCCCATCAGACCTGGGCTGACATATTGGTGTTAGCCCAAAAGACAGCTTCCTGATTTCCTCAACTTTCCGTTGTACCCTCTGCAGTTGATGAGGGGGAAGAACCTGTGCTGGCCTGCAGTGGGGCCCATCCCACCTGGCTGGGGACACCCCCGGGCAGCACCTGAGCGTGTCAGACCCTTGTCTCAGCAAAGGAAATGTTAACAGTGATGCTAGGATCCTAGAAACCTAGCGGCATTTCCATGTTAAAATGAAACGTTAATTCTTTTCTCCTTTACTTGTCAGCTGGCATACTGTGTCGTGCAGTTTCTGGAGAAGGACAGCACCCTCACGGAACCAGTAAGTGGTCCTGCACTGCCCTGTCACCAAGCGCCCCCCCACACACAGCGTACTCAGTGTCACAACCCACTGTCTCTGCTCAGCACACATGTTCACAGCTTTCCTCTTCAGCTATAGGCCACACACACAGCGTACTCAGTGTCAACACCCACTGTCTGCTCAGCACACAGCTGTTCAGCTCTTTCCTCTTCAGCTATAGGCCTAATGACACTGAGTTCACTCGGTGTTATGGGTTTTCCAGGTGTAGTCCTTTTAGTGACAGGTCCCTGGATTGTAGGGGATTTATGCCACAATGTCACCTTGTCCCTCACTGTACTTGGAACTCAGAGTGCTGGGCAGTTGTCACCAGTAAGTTGTATGCAGCTTAACACTCCCCTCTTGGTTTAGCAGCACATGTAACTGACTTCAGTCAGAGGGACTATAGTGAGGGTTCTAGTGCTGTTGTGCCGAAGAGGCTTTGCTGTCAGTATCAGTCTTTCCACATAAGAGGGTAACTGTTTCCTGATCATTGCTTCATAAGTGAATGCACATTGCTGCCATTCAGTGCTTAGATTTCTCAATTTCTTGGCATTTAATCTCTATAAAAAATACAAAAGCTATTGTAGCCTAGATTAACATAGTCGGGCATGTCAGGTGTCAGGGGAAGCGTTTGAAGAAATTTTAACAGCTTTGTTAAGATATAATTCACATACCACAAAATTCACCCATTTAATATGTACAGTTCAGTGGGTTTTAGTACATTATGTTATTAATTTTTTTTATTATATATATATTCTAGAAGCCCGTTGCAGGAAGATTCACGCAATAGGCCTTCCTTCTCCTGGCTGCCGGCACCGGTTTTCCTCCGGCACCCGGGACCCAGGCCTTTGGTCGGCCGCAGC